TGGGAGCGGGCTGCACGCCACAGCAGATGTTATATGAGATACCCTTTCCTTGTTTTTATTTGGGGTTCTGCTTTTCCTCTGTGGAACAATTTGATGAAAACTATATTTTCGTTGCTGCACATGTTACACTTGTTAGAAAATTCTTCTACTCTGCTTTTCCTTACTTGTGTTACGTAATTGAGTTATTGCTGGTTCAGTGTACGAGCTGTGTAGTGTGAGAATTTGTGTGTTTTCATGATGATTCATCAGTTGGGCTGCGTGTATTGGTCGAGATGTGGTTCTTAGACCTGAGAGTGGTACTATGGCATTGGGAGTGAGGAGTGTTTGGAAGTATGTGGGTATTTCTGCTAAGATTTGGATAATGGCCCTGGCGGGCGAGAGAGTTTCTTGACATGTTGACTTCATAGGCGGCTATGAATTCCCGCGCGTTTCTTTATCATGGACAGTGATGTGGAGGTCCGGAATAAGGTTATATTAAATGTGAGGTGTGTTGCCGGCACCCAGGGTATTATTTGAACAGCTATGGTGGTCAGAGGTTATTGCTTCGGGCATTGAGTTGTGTGGAGCAGCATGTGATTGTATTCGGGATTGGAATTTTTGGCTCGATTCAGCTTGTTTGGGTGTGTTTAAAGTGATGATGTGGAATTCGGGTCCCATGATGAATTTCAGTGTTGAGGTTTAAGTTCTTTTCTAAGGTTATGGACTAAGGAGGAGATGAGATCTTCAGTTAAGTGGCATTGTCAGTTCTTCATAGGTTGGGTGATGGGGAAACAACCCCGGGTGTATGTATGGTGAGCTCATGCAGTGGTTCGATGGCTTTGGAGCGACTCCGGGCACGTTCGAGGACGAACGTATGCTTAAGTGGAGGAGGATGTAACGACCCGAGTGGTCGTTTTGAGCAATTGCGCCCGCTTCGGTAGTTTGAGGTCTCGAGCAGCTTCACATTATGTATATCAACTTTTCTGCATGGTTGGATTCGGTTTCCGGATGAATTAGAATTGAATTGGAGGAAGGAACCTAGTTATGGAAGTTTAAATAGTGAAAATTTGACCGGAATTGGACTTTTGAGTAAACAACCCCGGAATGAGTCGTGGGTGATCCCAACAGCTTCGTATGGTGATTTTGGACTTAGGAGCGCGTTCTGATTCGGATTTGGAGGTCCGTAGGGTAATTTGAGGTGTTTCGGCGAAAGTTGGAAAAGTTGAAGTTTTGACCCATAGTTGACTTTTGTGATATCGGGGTCGTAATGCGATTCCGAGAGTTGGAGCAGCTCCGTTATGTCAATTTGGACTTGTCTGCAAAATTGGCGTTATTCCGAGTTGAATTGATAGGCTTCGGCATGAGGTTTGATGTTTGAAGATTTGGAAATTTCTAAGCTTGATTTTTGGTTTGATTCGTTGTTTTGTTGTTGTTTTATGTGATTTCAAACCTCGAGCGACTCCGTGTTTGGTTATATGAATTGTTTGTGTGATTAGATGGGGTTCCAGGAGCCTCGGGTGTGTTTCAGGTGAGTTTTGAGCGAGTCCGGACATTCCGGAACTTAGAAAATGGATGGGCGCGGTGGATTTAGTGCTGGGCGTGGTGGATTTAGTGCGGCCGCGGAAAATGGTCCGCGGTCATGAAGAATCTGCAGGCCGTTGGTCCAACTTCGGAAGCTCATATCTTTTGATCTACAAGGAATTTGGACATCTGTAGCGAAAGTTATGTCCAAAATACTAAGGCCTGTCAGTGCAGTCAAAATCCACCGCGGGGGCAATGGATTTTGTGCGGACAACACTACTCCAGTGCGGACCGCACTCGATTTTGTGCGGTTAGCATTGGTGGAATCCGGGAGGTGAACTATAAATACGAGGTTTAGGGTTTTATTTCATATTTTGGCCTACAGAGCTCGGATTTTGGCGATTTTTCGAAGGTTTTTCAAGAAATTCATCGGGATGTATTCAAGTCGTTTTTGGCTAGATTGAGCCAAGCATTGATGAACTGGAAAAAGGAAAAGCTAAATTGAGTATTGAATTGGCCGGATTGAGGTAAGTATCTTGCCTAACCTTGTGTGTGGGACTTCGCCCTTAGGGATTGAGTCTTCTATGCTAATTGTAGTCCGTGCATGCGAGGTGACGAGTGTGTGCTTGGACTTATTTGTGAAAAATATGCTCCAGGGTTCGTAGGTCCTTATGTTCAATGCGGAGAGTATTTCGCTATGATTGAGTTTGATAATTGCTTAAATTGTCTCTATATGCTCAAAATGATATTGTTATCTTTCCTTGAATTCCTACGTGTTGCATTGACCCTTAATTTCCTTAATTGAAGTGATTGTCCTTCTTGTTGTCTGGATACTTCTTGATTGCGAGTTCCTCTATGACTTCGTGCAAATAGGTTACATGTCCAACTGTTGTGGTTGCCGGTGTAATTCTCACTTGTTTATTATGTCTTGTTGTGCGGTTGGGGTTTCATTGTGAAGTTAATTGTTGATACAAGTTTGGTTATAGCTGATGCCCTTGCCGGGACATATTTGATTCTTACTGCTGGTTCCCTTGCCGTGACGTGTCTATTCTTGTTGTTGACTCCTTGCCGGGATATTGTTGTTTCCTTATTATTCCCTTGCCGGGACGTTGTTGTTTCCTTATTATTTCCTGGCCGACATTCTTTTATAATTGATGATGAGATATAATGAAATGGGAGCGGGTGGTACGCCTACCACAAGATATGATGAAATGGGAGCGGGTGGTACGCCTACCACAAGATATGATGAAATGGGAGCGGGTGGTACGCCTACCACAAGATATGATGAAATGGGAGCGGGTGGTACGCCTACCACAAGATATGATAAAATGGGAGCGGGTGGTACGCCTACCAGAAGATATGATGAAATGGGAGCGGGTGGTACACCTACCACAAGATATGATGAAATGATAGCGGGTGGTACGCCTACCAGAAGATATAATGAAATGGGAGCGGGTGGTACGCCTACCACAAGATATAAAATGGGAGCGGGTGGTACGCCTACCACAAGATATGATGAAATGGAGCGGGTGGTACGCCTACCACAAGATATGATGAAATGGGAGCGGGTGACACGCCTGCCACGAGATAAATAAGACGAAAGTGAAATTCTGTGTTTGGTCCTCTTATCCTTTTTAGTGATTGGATTTTTGGTGCCGTGCACCTTCGGTTTGCTATGTTTAGTTGTTGTTGTCAATTCAAATGTTTAAACTATTTATTTCTTTCATTGTTGTGATCCCTTGTGTTGGAACCCACAATGTTTTCAGTACCTCACCGTGTTTATATATACTTATTTATATGTTCCAATGCTTCAAACTTCAATAATTGTTACATCCTTAATTCAATTAGTTTCTCAATTATATCTCCTTAAACCGTGTGAGGTTGTATTTTACTCAAAAAGAAATTTCTACTAAGTTTTAAGTTTTCAACTCCCATGTTAAAGGTAATAATTCTTCCGATGTTGTATTTTAAATTTAAAGAGGTATTTTCTTACGAGAATGATTTCTAAAAATAACTTCATCTTTTCTCGCCGATTTTTCCAAACTTATTTAGAAATTCAAATTTAATTTATATTATGCAAATGGGACTTTTTGAACATCTTATGTGTATTTGTAAGGACATTTGGTATTGTATATCAGGGGGATTTTGTTGTTAAGAGTGAGATGGAAAATATGTGGGCACAAGGTGTCGTACGTGCTGAAAGTTCGAAAGTTGAGATTATGATATGAGAAATCGAGGATTGAAATGGTCGAGATGGTGTATTAAACTTAATGGGAGTGATTGAGTTGACATTGTTTCTTTAGTTGGATACATTCTTACTTGTCCCTGTCTCCGCTATATCAGTGTTGAATTGTTTGGCTTATCTGATTTACGTGATCTCCGTTCGTTACTATCCGTGTTCTCCCTTTATTGTTTATACTATTTGTACCTGGATTTCTCTCCGCAGTTGGTATTACTTCGTTATCTTTATCTTGATGTTTATTATCATATCCTGTTAATCTTAATTGACCGGTAGGTGTCCTAACTATTCCTCGTCACTACCCCACCGAGATTAGTCTTGATACTTACTGGGCACCGCCGTGGTGTGCTCATACTACACTTCTGTACATTTTTTTGTGTACAGATCCAGGTATTGATCGATAGTAGTTGTGCGGATCGTCGCAGTGGAGACTCACGGTAACCTGCTGCTGCGTTCGTAGGTCTGGGAGTCACCTTCAATTGTAATTATTTCCATTTGCTCTTTGTTTCGGGGCAGAGATGTATTATTTTGTGTAATTACTCTTAGATGGGCTTGTGACTTGTACCAACGGTTTTGGGGAAATTTTGGATTATTCAGAGTTGGTTAGTTTAAAGTAAGAAAGCATCAATGTTATTTCATTTTATGTTGGGCTTACCTAGTTTAGAGACTAGGTGCCTTCACGAAACCCAACGGAGGGAAAATTGGGTCGTGACAAGGACACTTGGTCCTGAACTTTATGAGCAGAAGGGTATTTTCGTCCGGACAGGTAAAGTTTATTAAAATAGTGGCTAAAGACTAAAGACATTTTAAACAGTAGCTTAAAAGTAAATACATATGTTATTACTGGATAACCGTGCACTTCCCCCACAATATTAGTTGTTCAATCTAGGTTGTCTTGATATTACATTGGTTAATAGTATATTAATAGGCTAAGAGTTGGGTATGATTAGAGGCCCATGTTGGGATTTTAGATGATAATTGATATTAGATTGGTTAATAGTGTTAATGCCCATGGCCGCTGATGTTTGACCCGTCTGAGGTCCCAACATTAATTGTATATTACATAGGTCAAATTAAATGTTCAGCAACCAAATAACACTTCTACAGCTCAATTATCATCCAGAATTCCAGGAAATATGAAGAGGAATAGAAATCAAACTAACTTTTGAAATCCTCTTGTGTTTTGTTTTTGTTTTGTTTCTTGGAATCGCTGGGTATAAGTTAGATACAATTTGAAACAATTATCCACTCACGAATATTGTATGATCACCAAATGATACACTTTTTACATCCACGGGTGCGCAACGACAATACACAAATGACAGTTTTCTTCCATTATAATCAGTCACAATAGTAAAAGAGGTGGATTTCAACTAATAAGATGGACTAGTTGTTATGACAGTTCTCCTATATTTGATATAGTATTTCTTATTTGAGTGTTCCTTGCTCAAGAACTACCTCATAAGTCATATTTCCAAGTTAAAACGCCATCACGTGCACTTGATACAAACTGGAATTCACGGTATAAACTTATCAGGAGCTACATAATCAGTACGGTAAAATGGGAGTCTCACTTCACCCCGAAAAAAAAAAAGGGGGGGTAAATACTGGATGGTGGAAAGAAAGAACACAAATTGCAGAAGCAAAATTTAATTGTGGTAAATACTTACTTGTCACTGGCATATCACATATGAGAACTACATCAAACAACTTATCCTCAGCAGTCGTCCAATACCTTTAATAAAAATACCAGAAGGAGGTTTCCATCAAAGGTAGAACTAAGATAATAATGAAAGATAACAAAAAAATATTTCTCTGGTGTGAACTGGCCAGTAGAGCTTTCTCTACTCCATGCCTGGGGTGAGGCGGGTTTGGATAGGGTTGATCTTAGATGGCTTGCGGTTTATGTTGAGCTCACACTATCCTTGTTGTTTATCTTAGCCCCAGGCCTTAGATACTGACTAATGTTATTGCATGTCATTTATCTTATGGTTTTTATGCTTCTCTTACTATTTCTACGGTTTCTGCTGAAGTTACTAATGAATTGTCTTTTCTTGTTTTTATTTCCGTCTTCCTGAGCCGAGGGTCTATTGGAAACAGCCTCTCTGCCCTATCGGGGTAGCGGTAAGATCTGCGTACGCATTACCCTCCCCAGACCCCACTTTGTGAGATTTTACTGGGTAGTTGTTGTTGTTATATTTTTCCTTTCTCCTGATAATCTGGTGTTGTTTTGACAAACATACATTGGCATACTAATCTGGTGTTGTTTTGACAAACATACATTGGCATACTGTTGCACTTCAAGATGGATTTCTTTCCATCACCAACATCCAACCTTCAATAAGTTGATACGTAACATGTCAGCTCTAGATATTTCAACTCATAGAAACATTTGATAAACATGTTATTCATATAATACATGTGTAAAATCCTGAAGGAACATTCACCATAGAAGAAAAGTTGAGGGTTTCACTTTCAAACTACACAGCTAGTAGAAGTGTATGTTGTACATATACCAGAGTCGTGGATCAATCTACACAGTCAAACTAATAGCCCCTTAAGCAAGCAATAAAAGGGATGAATAGATGTAAAAATTTGACTGCTATATAGGATGACAAATACAAGAAAAATGTTAAGAACTTACAGCTTATAGCCAATGCAATAGAGCAAGTTTTTGAGGTATCTCATCCTTTGAGAGTCCCTTTAAAACCTTGGCGACTCCTGCGCGCTCTAGCCCACTGTGAGAGAGCAGTTTATGGTTTCTCCACCTTGAAGAATGACACAAAACTCCTTACGAGAGCTGTGAAATCCAAGTCCTTCCACCCAGATATCATATAAACATTTTAATAACTATAATAGAGACATTAAATCAGGACTCAATTTTCAAAAGGTGAGACTACAAACCATAGCTCTTCAACCACAATAGCACAGTCCGCAAGGTTTCTTCTGGCCTTGGTACTCTTTCCATACTTCTTGCGCGTAAGAGCTCACTGAATTTGTCTTCTCCAAAAAGGAAAGTCAATATCTTGTAATAAGTTTGCAAAGTCAGAATAATGAAGTGTAATTACTTGTGTTCATAGTAACTACAACTCTTACACAATGACTTTCATCTAGCTTTCCATTTTTTATCAAGATATACTTGGATCAAAGATAGAAGGAAAAAAGCAAGTGAAATTTAAGTAACTTGTTAAATACAAAATGAAAAAAATTAAATTTGAAGCTTGAAACAATAAACTGAAACTAATGACCACTTAGAGTATCATTAAGCGCTTATGGTAAAGCTCGACAGGTAAATCTCTATTGGCAAAAGGAAATTGCATTCAAATTGAAGTGCAAAAAGCACGTGGATGAAAATTAGAAAAGATCACATCTAAAGGAAATGTAGGAGTAATAGAAAAAAAGCTCCTTGAATGAATATCCCAAATTAAAAGTTAAAAATTATTTCCACATATAAGAAAAGTTGCTAAAAACATGGTTAATCCTTCCTTAAACTTCTCCTTTTTGTCATAATCAGGTGCTCTCAGCTCAGATGGGACTAATTTAATATGTCAATATGTAGAGGACCAACATTTATTTAGCCACACAATTTGAATAGTAATCCCGCCACATAAGTTGATATTAGTATAGATTCAAACCAAACAATCTATTCACATCTTTCATCTATGTCTTCCAACCAGCACAGTCAAAAATGATATTGGCATCATCGTCGGAGAATGTCACCTAAAGTGAAATGCTTTTCAACATGACAAAATAGAAAAGCTAAAGAGCTGCATCAGAGAGCTACTTCTCTTGCACTATTAAATAATACCAAAGAGATCAGACACAACAAATAAAAGTATAAAATAGCTACAATATAAGCATACCTGTTTACATATTCCCACATGTTCAACTCCACACTGTCAATGTTTTTCTTTTCTGTTTCTTCCTTTTCTAGGTTGATATATCCAAATAATCCAACCTCATTCTGTTATCACCTACCATCCATCAGCAGATATGTCGGTGAGGTTTCATAGAAACAAATATCAAACATCTTTTGGACGAACATAATAGGATAATTTCCCACTTCACCTTTTAATATATCAGATTGATTCTCTTTGGATCAATAACTGTCACTTGCATGGAAGAGAGATGTTTACAAGATTTTACTAACAGTCAATTATCTTAACTTTCAGATACAAATTTTTCCATTTTCTTTCCCTCCTACTTTCTATATAAGCATAGCCATTTTCCTCTTCCCTTTTTTTTTATGGGAGGAGTAGCCGGGCTTTGCCCGGGCCCAATGTGAATAAAGCTATTTTATTTTATTGTACATTCTGCTACCTTTCCAATTTTAACCATAATATTCTATGAACTTTCACTAGTGAGGTTTGCGCCAGCAATTTGGATTATGAAAGTAAACTTTAGTTTGTAAATCTATCCACTCTAAGATTTAAGTCTCGAGTACTATATACATTGAAAGTAAATATTTTAATACTATTAAATCTGTTTCATAACCTAATTTGCTTTCGCCATCTTTTTCACTCATAGTCAGGCAGATAAACTAACGAATAATCGAATATTGTAGAATACTGCTGCTCAACTACATCCCTGATCCATCACATCTCTACGTGAGATGTCTTACTTCTATGTATGTAGCATGAGAATAAGTGATAAAATATATTTTCATGTTACTGCCTGCATTGGTTGTCCGTTTTTAGTAGAAATTGATTTTCAATAGCTATTACGTTGCATGTTTATTTATTATAGTACAAAAGGTCTCTTGTAAAGTTATTTTCGCGTAAATAATTATCTATTTTAGTACTTCCGAGCACTTAAAATAGTCTTAATATTGAGCATTTACTAAGTGTACATATAATTCGTGTCTATGTGAACTGTGAAGGTACCAACTCTCCAGGTGCCATGAAGAAGTTTTTACAAGAGATATGAAGCTGAAAGCCTGAAACATACCAAAATGATGTTGTTCCCCTTTTATTGTTAAATGGCAAGTACAAAATGATGTTATTCCATATTACTAGGAACTATTAAATTAGATACAGCAAGAATAGTGGCAGCAATGGTGGTCCTCTTGGTTAGAAGAGCTACCTGTTTCACTATCATTTATATCGATCATCTCCTCTGTAATATTTGTTTGGTTAGCCTCCATATGGAAACAAACTAAATATTGGTCAAAGGGAGTATAATTTAGTACAAACCATGCACTCTATCTACATTATCATTCAGAAAAACATACCAACGACCTCAAGATCACACTTCTATTTCAAAAATCAAGTAATGAATGTGAAAACTAAAAGGCAAAAAAGTTTAGCTTAAACATGTGCACAACCATCTATTTCTACTTGCCCTTTCCAATTGTCAAGTATTCATTAAATAAATCTCATCGTTTTTAATTGGTAATATATGAAATTTATAATCTAATTACAAGATCCTCTAAACCTAAAGTCCTACCGCCATAACAACAGAAATAAAGCAGAAAGTTCTGCAGAAAACACTAACAATCTCACTGCGGCAAATTTTTGCTAACCAAATCAACTGATCACCCTTTCTAAAAAGAGCTTTGACTGGAGACTGAATATTCTCATAGGGATAAAATCCCAACTTTGACCATCACATTTTCAGTCAAAACCTTGAAATACATCACAAAGTGCAAATTTATTAAAGGAGATCTAGGGATGTTTCATATTATATAATACGCGTTTCCACTTGAATACGTTCAGTTTTGCAAAGATATCTCTATTGGAGTACCAAATCATAAATTTGAATCCAAAGTAAAAATATATATAGTACTATATTTTCCCTATAAAACCATGTTAAACGTGTATTTTAACCAGGCCATCGCATGATGCCTATCATTATCCAAAATCTGGTATTAACTTTTCCAAATAGCAAGGGGGGATTACCAAGCAATTCAATTTTTCCTCTAGTTGATGCTAATTGGCAACTAATATGATAAAAACTTGTGGCAGATTAATCACAACAATACGTCCAAAAAACACGCGAATTTAGTAACCAATAGTGACAGAAAGTAAATCATATATAAAGAAACAGAGAAGTAGATGCACTATCATAAAAAGAAAAAAAAAAATCACAAAACCTATAGACAAACTTTTGAAATAGTAACAACTTGTCATTTGATCAGAATCAAAACATAATAGTCTCTTTGCTTCCATTAAATATTGCAAAAGAAAAAACAATCTCTTTGCTTCCATTAAATATTGCAAAAGATAAAACAATCTTAACACTTTGAGTTCTGTAATAAATTCTAATTCAAACACCAAAGCAGAATGAAGCATAAATCTATATTTGCTTAATTAAATATATAACATGAGAGGTGCCATATATATAGAATAAGAGTGAATTATAATCAGAACTACACCTTTCTCCGTTGTATAAATAGAACCAGCTGGCGACACGTGAACCAGACCAACAATAGAATGAAGACTACAATTCCAGCTTCAGATGCTTTCAAGAGAGGAGCGAGTTGATGTTTATTCCGACTTTATCTACAACAAGAAATTATGGAAATAACATGGTTGCCGAGTTAATCTCTGTGTATGAGCATTAATAAAACAAAGGAAGCAATTAGAAGCTTCACAATCACTTTAGGATGTCAAATTGTATCTTAACTTTTTTATTTAAGCAACTAATTGCAAGTAATAGTTGAAATAACTAACAATTACATAATCTTTTTACTGCAAAGAAAAATATTTACAACATATAAATGAGCTTAAAGAGTTTGAGTTATTTCAATGGATCAGCTAGAGTTAGAAGAAGAAAAGGATCCTTCGACGCATTCGATTTTGATAGTTTAATCACAACCTCTATCGAGAGGGCAAATTGTCATAAGACTTAAGGCATGGAACAAAGGTGCGCGAAGAATTACAAATTGAAATAATACAGTTGAAGTGCAAATTATTAAATATAAAGGAAGAAACTTGGAATTTGTCTATCAATTTCAAGAACAAAATACAAAGTAACTGAACATAGACTCTAACTAATTAGTTAATTACTCAGTAACCTTCAGCAATTGGCGATGAGTACCAATTAAAAGCAAACCGTTCAGTTCCAAAAAGGTGAAACCTTAATTGCACCAGTCAGTGAACCTCAAGCTTTTTAAAATTCACCACTTTAGAGAGGAATCCCATCCATGCAAGAGCAAGAACTTTTTAAGGACGAAATCGTTATGTCATAAACTGCAACTCTCGTGAACAGCTTATGTCAAAATTTGCATTACGGAGTTCATCCAAATTCGCTGACCATGACGATCTTCCACTGCGGAATTTCGTCAAATACATAGGTGGCATCGAAGTTCTTCCCTCTTTGTCACTATTTTTGTCCTAGATGAAAATTTTCACGGAGCAGAGAAGTACTACACAAAACTTAAAATCCACATACAAATGGAAAATTGGAGAGATCCGATGAGTGAAGATTTCTGATAAGTTCCACTTAGAGTTCTCTCTCTTTGAAACCCTTGAAAGGTGTTGTCAGTACTACTTTTGAGTCCATTCCAAAAAAAATGAGGCCTTTTTAAATTTAGTACACAATTTAGCTTAAATTTACAATTCTATTATTAATGAGGATTTTTTATAACCACATAAATACTCTAGCTTATTTTTAACTTATTGAGGATCACAAATTCCAAAAGTCTTCATTTTTTCTTAAACTCTGTGCCCAGTTAAATAGGTTCACATAAATTGAAACAGAGGGAATACTATATTAATACCATAGCTAGAGGTGGCAAATGGAGGGCTGAATTTGGGCGGGTCAAGATGGGTTAGAGATCATTATCCAATTCAATCCAAGTACTTGGGCTAAGATGCGTTGTGTCAAGATTGGCTAAACAATAGGTCATAGCCCAACCCGCCCAACTTGACCCATATTTTAGAACCATGTTCATCTTGCATAAAAAAACCTTTTACCTTAAAATCTGTAAATTCAAAAATATTTTGGGAGTGGGGTGAGGGGTAGGTGGGTGGTACATAAAAACGAAAAAATAGAAAATACAAAACAAAAAAGTAAAAAAACTTTTTTGAGGGGTTTATGGGTGAGGGGATAGGGTGTAGGGTGGGTGGGTGGTGCAAAAAAATAGGAAATAAAAAATACGAAAAGAAAATTTAAGGGGGTTAACACGGGATGGGGGGTGCGGTGTAGAAAAACAAAAAAGCGAAAAAAAACAGTAGAAAATACAAAAAAAAAAAAGGTAAAAAAAAATTGAGGGATTTGCGCGGGGGTGGGGAAGGGGGTAGGGGTGGGTGGTGTGCATAAAAAAAAAAAAATTGAAAATACAAAAAAAAGAAGTAAAATTGCGGCAACTAAGTAAATTTCTAGATAAGTTGAGTTGAGATCCCTAAGTTTCATGGGTTGTATTTGGATGCTTAATGGGTCAGAATGGGCTATAAAAAAATAATGGGTTAACTTGGGCTCAGTCCAAATAGATCCATGAGCTAAAATGTTTGTAACCCAACCCATTAATCTCTGGGCGGGTTGGGCGGTTGGATGGGTTTGGGATCAAATTGCCGCCCCTAACCATAGCTAATTAAATTACATATGGTTCCATTTTTCTCCTTTTTTTTGGATTTATTTGGTTCAATAACTTTGGTTTATTCTATTTGAATATTAACTAGTATGTAGAGTCATTATATTGTAACATTATTAGTTAAAGTACTCAAAAGTACAAAATTAAAAATATTTGTTGGCAAATATTTTGTCTCGAGAAAGAGAAAACTTTACGTAAAGTAACAAATTTGATCATTAAAAATGTCTTGTTACTTGCTTAGAGTTAATTGATGAAATTAGAGAAGAAAAAAAAGCAATATAATATATTTATATTATAATTAATAATATGTGTATTGTGCAATATAATATATATTTCGGTACTGTATCAGTATTTCTGTATTTTATTTTAACTAACAAATATTATTTTTTTATAAAAATTAAACCAAATACCATACCAAATACCAAAATTTTCAATTTTGGTACGATAATTCGATATTTACCAAATTTTACACAACTCTATAAGGGACCCGTGTCACTGTAAAAAGTTCATTCAATTGCCAATAAAATGGACCACACAGTAAAGTACAATGCAAAATGATCTTTGTACAACCCATTAGTGTTGTGTGGACCAATATGGAATAATTTATGATTTTTTTGTAACTTCACTTGAACCGGAAGCTCCTCCTGATTCCCCTTATTTCTATTATATACAAAAGTAAAGTTGGTTGGCCAAGGGCATGAAAATTCCATGTTTGCATTTCTTAAATGCAAAACTATGTCATCTTGATACACGTGGACTCCATATTCCTTGTGATGACCCAAAAGGTCATCTCTTGTTTTAAAAGTCAAAACTGTGTTTCGAGACCTTAAAATCCTCCTCTTGTCTCACCTTGTTTTGTGTGCGCAGTCCGGACGTATATCCGGTTATGTGTAAAATTGAGAAAATGCTAATTTTGCCTTTAAAATAAAATTTAAGTTGATTTCGGTCAACATTCTAGGTAAACGGATCCGGACCCGTGATTTGACAGTCTCGGAGAGTCCGTAGGAAAATATGGGACTTAGGCGTATGCCCAGAATTGAATTCCTAGGTCCCTATCCCGAGAAATAAATTTTTGAAAGAAATTATTTAACTGAAATTATAAGAGTTTTTGGAAATTTAACAGTGTTTGAATTTGATAGTATCGGGCCCGTATTTTAGTTTCGGAGCCCGGTACAGGTTTAATATGGTATTTGAGTTGTGCCTGTAAGATTTGGTAAGAAACGGAGGTCATATGACGTGATTCGGGCCCTTAGTTGTAAAATTTGAAACTTTGAAAGTTCTTGAGATTTTTTCTTGATTTTGATGCTAAACTCGTAGTTCTAAGTGTTGTTTTGACAATTTGATCGCACGCGCAAGTCCGTATGACGTTTCTAGACATGCGTGCATATTTGGTTCGGAGCCCCGAGGGCTCAGGTGAGTTTCGGATAGGCTACGAGGTGGTTAGACTTGGAAAAACTCTACTAGTGCACCAGTTCTGGTGTGCCCGCACTTGCGAGCCTAGGGCCGCAGGTGCGAGCTTGTAGCTGCGTATTTTTAGCCGCAGATACGGCCCAGTCCAACCTTCCCTCTTTCTGCAGATGCGGACAAAATTTCGCAGAAGCGGAACTCTTTCCGCAGGTGCGGCCCCCAGTGAGCCTGTTCATTTCTGCAGAAGCGGAAGATTTTCCGCACATGCGCCTACGCAGGTGCGAGGGTCGGGCAGTGGGGGTGTTTAAAATAGAACTCCAGTCGTTTTTCTTTTTCAATTTTCACAATAGTAGAAGGCCTAGGGCGATTTTCTCAAGAGCTTTTCTTCACAAAATCATGGGTAAGTGTCCATCAACTACTTTCTTTCAAGTCTCCATTGTTTTTCACCAATTTACAACTAAAATTCTAGGGTTTCCATGGTAGAAATTGGGGATTTGGGTAGAGTTAGGGTTTTTTGTATAATTAGAATTTAGACCTCGTTTTGGGGTCGAATTTCACAACTATTTGCATATTCGGGCTCGTGGGTGAATGGGTAATCGGATTTTGGTCCGAACCTCGAGTTTTGACCAAGCGGGCCCAAGGTCGATTTTTGACTTTTAGGGGGAAATGATAGAAAATCTATAATTAAGCATTAGGGATGAATTCTTTAGCATTTATTGATGTTGCTAAGTTAATTATGTCTAGATACAAGTGAATTGGCGGTGAATTCTAAAGGGGAAAACTGTGTTTGAGGCTTGAGTTTGGCCGTAGAATCCGAAGTAAGTGTTTGGTCTAACCTTAGCTTAAGGGAATAGGTGTTGTGTCCTATTTGCTACGTGTTAGTCTTATGTCAACGTATAGGTGTGGTGACGAGTATCTATACGTTGGTGTCAAGTATACCCGTGAGTCGTATATTGTGATTGATATGATTTTTTCA